TAGGCTCTGGAGGAGTCCTTGAGGGGGCGAGGACTGCTCTGGAGCCAATGCACACATGGCCCCGGGGGGAGAGGGCCTGTCTTCTAGGTCAGCAGTCAGTGAAGCAGCCTGAACCTGGGTCACCCACCCAGGCCCTCTGAGAACCCTATTCTAGATGACATGGGGCCCACAGGCTGAGCCTCTGGCATGAAGATGTCACCCTCCTGTGCTCATGACCCAGAAGAGGGCAGAGGGGCAGCACCCCAGAGGTATCAGCAGGTGCTACGCCACAGTGAACGCCTAGGCTGGGCCAGGCTGGGTCTGTAATTGGTGATAACAAGCCCTTCCCTGTCATAGTCCCCTCTGTTCTCCTGGGCCTCCCGCACTCTCTCTCTCTCTCTCTCTCTCTCTCTCTCTCTCTGACCCCTTTCTCCTCTCTGAACCCACTCCCCCTCACTCTGCCTCCCAAACGCCTTCCCTTCCGCTCATCTGACTCTTCTTCACTCATCAAAAGCTGTCCTTAGATGGGCGTGGCGGCTCACACCTGTAATCCTAGCACTTTGGGAAGCCAAGACAGCATAGTGAATCTCCATCTCTAAAAAACATACCAATAGCTGCATGTGGTGGTGCATTCCTGTAGTCTTAGCTATTTGGGAGGCTGAGGCGGAAGCACTGCTGCTGCTTGAGCCCAGGAGATTGAAGCTACAGTGAGCTGTGATTGTGCCACTGCACTCCAGCCTGAGCAACAGACTGGGTCCCTCTCTCAAAAAAAATTAAAAAGTGGGTTTTGACTAGATGATCCCCCCAACCCATGAAGGCCCTGTCAGTCCCAAGACTTAAACATCTCTCTGCCCTATAAATCTGTATGTTAGGAAGCCTGTAGCTTCATCACCAGAGGCAGAGGTCACCTCCAGTGTTTCAAGCTTTGATTTATTGGAGCTGAGATTTCAAATTCACCTGTCCTAAGTCACCTACAGACTTGGGTCTTAATTAAAGGGGAAAATAGGGCTAAACAGGCCCAGTGGCCCACCTAGAGATCCCAGGACTCTTTGGTTGAACCAAGATTAGAGTCCTTTCTGGCCCAGAATTTGAGGTGAGCTGCAGAGACACCAGGATGTCTTCCATACACCTCCTAGGGTGTTTCACCAGAGCCCAGGAGGCCCCCCAAGGACCACAGGTATGGGACAGGGGAAGCAGCAGAGGTGAGGTGATTGAGGCTTATTCATGGAATTTTTGGGAAAATAGGACTGAGTTTGCAGCTGGTGCTGTAAAGAGAGGAGGCATGGCCGGGTACAGCAGCTCATGCCTGTAATTCCAGCACTTTGGGAGGCTGAGGTGGGTGGATTACCTGAGGTCAGGAGTTTGAGACCACCTTGGCTAACGTCACAAAACTCTGTCTCTATTAAAAACACAAATATTAGCCAGGCATGCTGATGCATGCCTGTAGTCCCAGCTACTAGGGAGGCTGAAGCAGGAGAATCGCTTGAACCCAGGAGGCGGAGGTTGCAGTGAGCCAATATTGTGCCACTGCACTCCAGTCTGGGTGACAGAGTGAGACTCAGTCTCAAAAAAAAAAAAAAAAGAGAGAGAGAGAGAGAGGTCGGGCACAGACTCGGTGGCTCACGTCTGTAATCCCAGCACTTTGGGAGGCCGAGGCGGGCAGATCACATGAGGCTGGGAGTTCAGGACCAGCCTGGCCAACATGGAGAAACCCCGTCTCTACTAAAACTACAAAATTAGTCAGGCATGGTGGTGCACGCCTGTAGTCCCAGCTACTCAGGAGGCCAAGGCAGGAGAATTGCTTCAATCCAGAAGGTGGAGGTTCCAGTGAGCTGAGATTGCACCATTGCACTCCAGCCTGGGAAACAAGAGCAAAACTCCACCTCAAAAAATAAATAAAGAAAGAAAAGACAGGAGGCAAGCCCTGCAAAGGGACTGGGTCAGTATGCAAATGAGTTCAGGCCGAGTGGGAGGGAGGAGGTGAAGGGCCTTCTTTGTTCCAACACCTTGGCTCAGTGAAGGAGTGGAGGGGTCAGAGACAGGGGAGGGTTCAATGAGGGGAGAGGGGATCAGGAGTGGGGACTCGCTGAGGGGCAGGAGGCTCAGTGAGGAGAAAGGAGCTCGGAGAAGTGGTGTTCAGAGGAGAGCAGCCTTCTTTTTACAATTTTTTGTAGAGGTGGGGTCTCACTCTGTTGCCAGGCTGGTCTTGAACTCCTGGCCTCAAGGGATCCTCCTGCCTTGGCCTCCTGAAGTGTTAGGATGACAGACGTGAGCCACCACACCTGGAATTAAACCCCATCATTTTAGGATTGGGGGCATTGAAGCCCAGAGATGGGAAGGGCCCCTTTCAAGGTCATACAGGGAGCCAGGATCGGAGATAGGCCCAGAAAGAAGGTCTTTGGACTCCTGTTCAAGTGTCCTTCAGTTGCCTCTAGCACTTGCCACCCACCCCTCCAACACTCACCGGCCTACAGTGCCTGGGTTGATTTTCACCCTGGGGAGCCTGGAGAATCGGGGGCAGAGTGGTATTGTGAAAGTCATCCTGGGGTCCTGAGGCAGTGGACTTGGGTTGCACTAAGACCTTGCTCTGTCACATTGGGAAAGTCCCATCACACTCTCAGGCCTTGGTTTGCTCCTCTGTGAAAGGGAGACAGCAGCACCTTTGGCTCCAGGTTACATGAGGAGGAGATGAGATCATGTATGTGAAGTTACAGGACCATGGGCAGAGGCTCAGTGTATGTATAGGAGTGAAGGAAGAGGGGCTGGGCTCCCCTAACCTCCCCATCAGTGCCCCTAGCAGGCTTCTGAGACAGGAAAAGCTATGATTTTGTCCTTGGGGGCGGGGTGTGGCAATAAAATGTGGGCAGAGGAGGGAGAAAAGTCAGGAAGGGAGGCTGACCCCAGCAGCACCAGTAGCCACATCTGGCCATGGACAATCTCAGGAGGTGAGGGTGACACACTAAGAAAGGAAGGGGCAGTCACTGGCTTGTAGGGGTCAGCAAGAGGTTGGCAGGCAGAAGAGATGCAAAGTGGGTGCAGCAGTGAGCAGATGGGACTGTCAGACCCAGACTCCCCCTTTGGCAGGTGTGACAGGGAGAGAGGCACCTGGCTGGCCAGTTCAAAGCATATTCTACCTCCAAGTATCCCAGTGACCTTGCAGGAGTCACCTCCTCGCTGCACTGTACACCCTCATCCATCTCCCTCAGGCTTCCACCTGTAAAGCTGGCATCGTGAACAAGACACTGGCATTGAACTGGGCCTTGATAAACAGAGGATGGGACAGGTCATCAGTAACTCTCCTGCCTCCAGGAGGACAGCGTGAGTGGCTTCATGACCTTGGGAAAGTCACTCAAGCCTCATTTCTCAGCTATGAAATAGGGACAATGATGCCTTCCTTGTGAAGCTTCCGTGAGGATTAGCTGAGTCAACCGTTGCATTGTGCCCAGCATGGAGCTGGCTATGAGGCCCTCAACCAATGTTCATCTCCTCTGGGAACAGAAAAACATGCTTCAAATATCACTGAACACTCTTCCACATTTATCCAGCTCTTCTTTAAGCAATTCTTACTTGTCTCCTATTTACTAACAGTCACCCAGCATTTTATACCATAAAAGTAGTCTCCCATCCCCTTATCCAGAGTATTTCTTTCAACATCAAAGTAGACATTGTTAACACCACACCTGCTTTGCAGATTGGAAACAGACTCAAAAAGGTCAATGGCTTACCTCAGGTCACATAACCTAGATTTGATCCTATGTCTTTCTGGCATCAGAGTCCATGACTCCCAACCCACATATCGCCACCTCTTAAAACCCAGTTGACTCTTCAGTCACTCTTCAAGAATACCTCCTCCACCCCACAGGAGAGTGGGATGGGGTATAAAGTTAAGGAACCAGAAAGCTAGTGTTGTGTGGGAACAATTTCCTAGCCAGCTGGGTCCTATTTTTGGCTGAGGAAGAAGGTGGCACAAGCCGGGGCCATGACCTTAAGATGCCCCCTGGGCAGAGGAACTGGTGTACATCTCTTTATCAAGCCTAGCACCTGCTATTTCTCTTGCCATGGAACAAAAGACCAGCCCAAGCCCCCTGATGCTAGGGTGAGTGAGGTCTTAGGGCAACAAGAAGTTATGACTGGAATAGGGAACAGGCTTTGAAGTACCAGGCCAGACCTTGGTACAACCTTCCCTTGCTCCCCCTAAATCTCTCCCCACAATGGATCTGCTGTCAGGAGCAGGAACTGCAGGAGGCTTCAACACTGTCCAGGCAGAAGCCCTGGGAGGGAGGGGGAGGCGGATGCAAGGCAGAAGCTGCGTCTTTTCTCAGCTCTTCTCTTTACCAGGAATTCGCTCTGGGGCTGGGCTAACTCTGGGCTCTAGAAACTCTCTCTGGGCATCTGGGGGTAGGGGGTGTGCACAGAGAACCCCCCCAAACTCCTAGTAGCTATTTTCTCTTCTGTGTCCTCCATCCTCTTCCCAGTGCAAGAGTAAATGCCATCCTGTGTGAAACCCAGCTCTCCTTGCCAGCTCCTGCCTCCCTAGGGGCAGTTGGGCAGCTGGGAAAGGGGCCAGGCTGTCCCCTGGGTTGGCACCTCTTACTGGACAGAGGCCCAGCCTTCAGGTGGGGGCCTGCTCCCTCCACCCGGGCCAGTGACCAGCATCTCCACGGGGTCCCTGCATCGGTCTCTCCCTTCCCTGGGGAGCAGGTCCTTCTCCTCAGTGGGACTGCAGTTGGGAGCCTCCCTGGCACCCTCGTGGACCAGGCCATGGTCATTTATGCCCAGGGGAGTCCTGCCCATGACCCCATAGTGTCCCCACTGTCTCCATCCCTCTCAGTGAAATGAACGTCCCTCATCTATGCTCTCCGGGTGCCTGGCACTCCCGGACAGACACCCACCCTGTTCCCCCACACCGCCCCTCTGCTCCGAGGGCCTGCAGACCCCGGGGGGGTGGTGCTGGGGAGGCCCAGGCTTCCACCCAGCCCCAGCCCCTTTGGGAGATGCCCCCGCCCCACAGGCGCTCTCACCTCCCCGCTGACCGCCGCGATCTGCCGGGCAGTGGGGCCAAGCCCTCGGGTCCCGCCGGTTCGGGCTGCCGCCTCGCTTGGGCTGAGCTGGGCAGGGCAGCCCCACGGTCCCCACGGCCCCGCGCCCCCCGCCTCCCCGCGGGTGCCGCCGCCGCTTGCTGAAATGCTGGACAGCGCACCGCCACCGAGGCGCCTCCCTGCCCGCCCGTCGGCCAGAGCGGCACGGCCCCGTATCCGCAGCGCCCTCGGCAGGCCTGGAGGAACGCCCGCAGCGGAGGCAACAGCAGGGAAGGACTGGACGAACCCTCCCCACTGTCCACCACTCCCCGCCCCGGGGAACGTTTGTTGTGAGGCTGAGGCAGGAGAATCGCTTGAACCTGGGAGGCCAGATACTCCGGAGGCTGAAGTGGAAGGATGGCTTGAGCCTGGGAGGTGGAGGTTGCAGTGGGCCGATATTACTCCATTGCACTCTAGCCTGGGCAACGGAGACACAGCTTGTCAAAAAAAAAAACTTTAAATTTTTGATAGAGCTAGGGTTTCACTATGTTGCCCAGCCTGTCCTCAGAAAGGTCAATGGCCGGCCTCAAGCAATCCTCCTGCCTTGGCCTCCCAAAGTATTGGGATTACAGGCGTAAGCTGCTGCAACCGGACTTTTTCTTTTTTTTTTTTTTTTTGAAAGAGGGTCTCTCTCTGTTGCCCAGGCTGGACTGCAGTGGTGTTATCATATCTTACTGCAACCTCAAACTCCTGGGCTCAAGCCATCCTCCTTCCTCAGCTTCTCAGAGTGCTGAGATTACAGGCATGAACCACGGTGCCTGGCTGGGGGGGAAGAGGATTTTGAGAATGGAAATGCTGAGCCTTTGATGTTGCTGGGTTGGGAGTCTGGGGTCCACACTTCAAGTCACCATTGGGTTACTCTCTGTGTAACCTTGTTCTGTTCCTCCCACAGCTCCTGCCCTCCTTTCAGTAAGCAGGCTAAGTGGAGAAAATTCAGAGGTGGAAATGCTGGGAGACCAGAGACCTTCCCTTAATGGAGATGTTAGGAACCAGGAAAGTGGAGGCCCCTGTTTCAAGCTCCCCACTGATGTCTCCAGGGCTGTGTAGGAAGGCAGGACTGGAAGTGCCGCAGCAGGTCTGACTTGGGAGGACAGTGGTGAGGCGTCAGGTGCCAGGGGTGCAGATTTTAGAAAGCATTTGCATAACACCAAGAGGCATCCTTGGGTCTGAGTGTATGTTTGTTGTGAGTCTGTGTCTGGGTTTATGTGTGTATGTGCCCCCGTGTGTCTGTGTGCATCTGTTTTAATCTTTTTGAGACGGAGTCTCACTTTTGTCACCCAGGCTGGAGTGCAATGGTATGATCTCGGCTCACTGCAACCTCTGCCACTTGGGTTCAAGCAATTCTCCTGCCTCAGCCTCCTGAGTAGCTGGGATTACAGGTGCATGCCACCACACCCGACTAATTTTTGTATTTTTAGTAGAGATGGGGTTTCACCATGTTGGTCAGGCTGGTCTCAAATTCCTGACCTCAGGTGGTCCGCCCCCCTCATCTCCCCAAAGTGCTGGGATTACAGGTGTGAACCACTGTGCCCAGTCTTTTTGTTTTTTGTTTTTTTTTTTTAGGCGGAGTCTCTCTCTGTCGCCGAGGCTGGAGTGCAGTGGCACCATCTCAGCTCACTGTAACCTCCGCCTCCTAGGTTCAAGCAATTTTCCTGCCTCAGCCTCACAAGTAGTAGCTGGGACTACAGGTGCCTGCCACCATACCAATTTTTTTGCATTTTAGTAGAGATGGGGTTTCACCGTGTTGGCCAGGATGGTCTCGATTTCCTGTCCTTGTGATCTGCCCACCTTGGCCTCCCAAAATGCTGGGATTACAGGCATGAGCCACTGTGTCCTACGGTTTTTGTTTTGTTTTGTTTTGTATTTTTAATAGAGACGGGATGTCACTCTGTTGGGCAGGCTGCACTCAAACTCCTGACTGCACGCAGGTGATCTGCCTGCCTCAGCCTCCCAAAGTGCTGGGATTACAGTCCTGAACCACCACGCCTGGCCCTCTGCTATAATTTTTGCAAATGCGGTTTCACCCTTCCCCTCCCCTCTTCCTTTGTCCAGGTTTCTTTACCTACCAGTGTCTTTGTAGTGTGTGTGTGTGTGTGTGTGTGTGTGTGTGTGTGTGTGTGTAAGATCCTTGAACTGCAGGCCCTTGCACTATCTGCAGAACAAAGATTGAGAGTGAGGGAGAGGGGCGGGCTACAGCTGCTGTCACCAGTACCGCAGCTCCGCAGCCCCGGCGGGGTGAGTCCTCTGCTGGTCTCCTACCTTCTGGCTGCATGAATATTTCATTTGCTGGGACTTTGGGCTGGCCTAGCACCAGTCAGCTTGCTTGCTCCTTCTTCCTGAGAGGAGCTGCCCCCTCTGTGCCTGGCTGGGACTTCCAAGGCGAATCAAGGTCTGGGAGAGGGCCCTGGGAGTGGAGGGTTGGGGGTGGAGGCTGCAGATCTCTCCTTGATTGAAAAACCATGGCCAGGTGCGTGCAGAGGAGTGAGGAAACTCACAGGAGGCACACAGACGCAGCATCATCTCAGGGTGAAATGCACACCTTAAATGAGTTGGCCTTTTTTTTTTTTTTTTTTTTGAGACAGTCTTGCATTTTGCTCTGTCTCCCAGGCTGGAGTGCAGTGGCACGATCTTGGCTCACTACAACCTCTACCTCCTGGGTTCAAGCGATCCTCCTCCTCTTGAGTAGCCGGGACTACAGGTGCACGCCACCACGCCTAGCTAATTTTTGTATTTTTAGTAGAGACAAGGTTTTACTGTGTTGGCCAGGCTGGTCTTGAACTCCTGACCTCAGGTGATCCACCCACCTTGGCCTCCCAAAATGCTGGGATTACAGGCGTGAGCCACCGCGCGCAGCCAAAGTTGGCTTTATGAAACCTCACCACATTACTTTGGTTCCTGACCAGCCCTGGCCTCAACTCTAGAATCGGCACCTGGGAACACTTTGCCCCAGCTGGGCACACCTTCTCCTACCCTCCCCTGGTCCGTCTCTACATTCTGCCTCCCATTGTGGTTTCACAATGGGAGCAGCTTCAAGGGAGGAGGGAATTCAGGCCCAGAAAAGCTGGTTGCAGCCAGGCATAGTGGCTCACACCTGTAATCCCAGCACTTTGGGAGGTCGAGGCAGGGAGATCACTTGAGGCCAGAAGTTTGAAACCAGCCTGGCCAACATGGTGAAACCGGTCCCTACTAAAAATACAAAAATTAGCCAGATGTGGTGGCAGGTGCCTGTATTCCCAGCTACTCAGGAGTGTGAGGTGGGAGGATCGCTTGAACTGGGGAGGCGGAGGTTGCAGCGAGCTGAGATCACACCACTGCACTGCAGCCTGGGCGACAGAGCAATACTCTGTCAAAAAAAAAAAAAAAGCTGGCTGCAAGCAAACTTTTCCGGCTGCCTGGAGCTCTCCATGCTACCACTCTCGGAAATCCCAGGCCACCTCTCCATCCCAGTATTCCCCCTCTCCCTTCGCACTCCCTTCCCCCAGCTCATAGAGACAGACTCTGACTTGGTTTCCCCACCCAGCCTGCTAATTTCCCAAAAAAGCGCTCGTTCCCTTGTGTGGCTCATTTCAGCAAGCGGCACCGCCATCTGTGCTGGCTTTTCTTCCTGTGATCCTCCGGCTCTATCTCTGCCCTGCTCCAGGCCTTGGCGGGAGGCTGACCTCTGCAGGCCGATTACCCAGGCCCCCTTGCTCTTGGAGTCTGACTGGGTTCATCGGAGGAGAGGCATCACCAGGAGACGCCAGATCCAGGAGAAGGGGAAGAGAGAGCGGTTAGGGATCTGTTCCCCTGCTGAGCTCCTCTCCAGCCTCTCGCTTCTCCACCTCCTAGGAGTGGTAACTGCTTCCCAGTAATTTAAGTCCTTGGCTGCTTCTCTATGTCTTGTCAGTCCGTGCTGCTATCCTCATCTGCACCTGTGTGCAGGGTCCCTTCATCAAGCTCTTGTTAATTGGACCTTTGGAAGGGTATGTCTATTTCATTCTAGATCTCTGACTCAACAACCTTCCCTGCCCCAAGTCTGGTCTGTAAGTCAGAGACTTGTGAGTCCGAAGGATTCTCCAGTTCCTTCCTTGCCCTTTAGAACTTCCATCTCCTGGGACGGTCCCCATTTCTTCTTCTTCTTCTTTTTCTTTAGACGGAGTCTTGCTCTGTCGCCCAGGTTGGAGTGCAATGGTGTGATCTTGGCTCACTGCAACATCTGCCACCTAGGTTCAAATGATTCTCCTGCCTTAGCCTCCCCAGTAACTGGGATTACAGGCACCTGCCACCACGCCTAGCTAATTTTTGTACTTTTAGTAGACACGGAGTTTCACCACGTTGGTCAGGCTGGTCTCGAACTCCTGACTTCGTGTGATCCACCTGCCTCGGCCTCCCGCAGTGCTGGGATTACAGGTGTGAGCCACTGCACCTGGCCCTGTCCCCACTTCTGCAGCCTCAGAGTGTCTGTCTGGGCCAGGCCTTGATACGAGACCCCTGCCCTGTGTCCTCCCCTCTCCAGTTACTCTCCTTCTGAACAGGCAATCTCTGCTCAGATGGCACTTGGCCAATGAGCCTTTTCAAGACATCTGCATATAAAACAGTGTCTCAGCAGCCTGGGCAACATAGCCAGTATCTGTGTCTTTAAAAACTAAATAAATAAAAATGAGCTGGGCTTGGTGGTGTACAGCTATAGTCCAAGCTACTTGGAGGCAGAGGCAGGAGGATTTCTTGATCCAGGAGGTCGAGGCTGCAGTGAGCCGTGATCGTGCCACTGCACTCCAGCCTGGGTGACAAAGCTAAACTTTGTCCCTGAAAATAAAAAATAAAACAAATAAAACAGTGTCACTGGCTGGGCGTGGTGGCTCACACCTGTAATCCTAGCACTTTGGGAGGCCAAGGTGGGTGGATCACCTGAGGTCAGAAGTTCGAGATTAGCCTGGCCAAGATGGTGAAACCTCGTCTCTACTAAAAATACAAAAATTAGCTGGGAGTTATTACTGGAGGGAGAGTCTCAAGCCAGGCACAGGATGTGCTGATTCCATGGGATGAGTGGGATCTGGAATCAGACCTGGGATCTGGAATCAGACCTACGATCTGAGCCAGATTTGCTGCTTTGTAGCCGTGTGGACTTGGGAA